ATTCTAGTTGCCAAGCAGGAATGCTAAAGAAAAAAAGCTTCCTGGATCTGATTCGATAGCAATTTAAGAACAAATGTAAGTCTGTACAAATGGCAGCTTTTCATCACCCATATGGGGTTACACTGTTTAAAACGTCTCCACATCTGCAGTGGGAAGTTATTAGTGTTGGATACACACAGCCAAGTCATAACTTTTTGCAAAGAAATATTTATGCACTCTCATAAATTCATTCCATTTCCTGGAGAATAAGCTTTTGAATGTGGAAAAAGGTTTTTCTTTCAGTAAAACTCTTAATTCATGGTTTGTTTCCCAAGCACAAATGTATAACATCTGCACTAAATTATCAAGTGTTTCATAATGCTTTACAAAGTTAAGACTTTTGTCTTCAGTATATAATTTTTATATCATGAGAAGTTTCTCTCAACATCTACTGCGGTTATTGGAGGCTACTTGAAACAAACAGTATCACTTACCTTTAACTCTTCTTCAGTTTCAAAAGAGCCTGCTTCTCTTATCGAGATAAGAGATATTTCCCACATATTTTGAAATATCTCTTATCGAGATAAGAGATATTTCCCACATATTTTGAAATCCACAGTTTTTAATCAAAAGAGTGATGAATTCAGCAAATGCAGTATTTGAAACTTTGCCTTTGACCTATTTTAAAACAACTTCTAAAAAACATTTTCTTCACATTAGATACTACAAGCTTTTTCCTCTCTACATGTAATCCTATGGAACTGAACATGCAAAAAGTCTTGAAGAGCTAAGAAATGCTGGTATGAAAAAATTCTGCCAAGTGACACTCATGCCTCTTGGAAAAAGCTAGTCATGATAGATATAACTACCAAAACCGTCAATCAGTTTTCTATGGATATGACATGCCTACCTAGTAAAAATTAATTCACAGAAGTTGAGACAGTGTTATTTCAAGGATAACTTTCTCAGATTCATAGCTAGAATATGCCTCAAAATGTGCTGAAATGTCAAAAAATATTTTAAAAAAGGAAAAATACTGAAATAGGAAAAAAAATTGCACATAACATCGAAATCTGGACCTTGACAATCAGATACTACTATGCAAGTACTATTGGTTACTATAATGGATCCAATGTTGTCAAAATTATCAGATATATGCACACTTTATCAATTATAGTAATGGATCCAGCATGTAAAAATTATAAGATCTACATGTGTTATTGATTAGATTAATTGTTTCATTCTCTGAAAATTATCAGAAGATAAATACATGTTTTAATAATTAAAATAATGGATCCAGATTATAAAAATAATAAGATAAATACATGCTTTATTAATTATATTGTTTCAATCTGTGAAAATTATCAGAAGATAAATACAAAAATAGGTAAATTCAAGAATTAATAATTAAAATAATGGATCCAGAAGATAAAACTTATAAGATCAATACAGGCTTTATTAATTTGATTGTTTCAATGTGTAAAAATTATCAGATAAATACAGACATATACTTTATATATATAAAGCTTTATTAATTACACTAATAAATCTAATGTGTAAATATTAAATATTATCGGGTAAATACAGGTTAATATCAGATAAATATTACAGGCTTCATTAATGACAATAACAGATAATAAAGCATATAAAAATTATTAGATATATACATGCTTTATTAATTACAATAATTGATCCAATGTGAAAAAATTGTCAGATAAATACATACTTTATTAATTATATTAATTGTTCCAATGTGCAAAAATTATCAGATAAGTACAGGCTTTATTAATTACAATAGTAGATTAAGTGTGTAACAATTACAAGATATACATTGTATTGATTGCATTAATTGTTCCAATGTCAAGAAGTTAGATAAATACATGCTTTATTAATTCCAAAAAGAGAAACAATATGCAAAAATAGATAAATATATGAAGTGAGACTAAAAGTAACAGACCCTTTCAAAAGTTTTACAGAAATGAGTGTTTTAACACTACTGCTTTTGAAAACAATTTAACTCCTGCTTTAGCAGCCTAGGAAGCTTTCAGATTTTATATTACACCCAAAGCAGTGTTTTTTTAACATTTTGTGTGTTACCTTTATTTAGTAACTGTCATGTTCTTTGCACTTAAACCATAAAATTCAATTCAACAGCAGTATCACAAAATAATTTAAAAAGAGCATATATTTAGAATTTCGATATGCAGTCTCACGTGCTGGAAATTATTTTTTTTTTCCACACACTGTTGCCATTGCTCATTGAATCTGTTACTAAAATTCATAACTAAAAATATACTGTTACTAAATATACTAAAAAACTCATTAAAGTTTTACAAAACATGAAACAGGTAATAAACCAAATTCCAATTTTGGGCTTCCAGATGCCTATATAGAAGTAGAGGACTACATTATTCAAAATTTGATGTCTCTAGGTGTCATTGTTTTTTCACAGTACAAGAAACATACATACATTCATGCAGATTCTTCATTATTTGATTTCTTTAAACATAATGCAGGGCTCTAATATTTGTTGGCAACGATACACTGTTAATAGTAAACCGACGCAAAATGCCAGATCAAAATTAATAGCCCTTTGGGCTAAAAATGCATTAATATACTATAAGGTATTTCTCTCGCCTCCTGTGCATGCCTTCGTGGTGTAGTAGTCTGCACCCTGGGCACATATTCCAGAGGTTCACAGTTCGATTCCCGGCAAAGGTGTTGCTAATTGTTCATCTCTCTTTAGCTTTGAAAAAAATCCGAATGTCTCTACAATGGTGCCCGAACTTAAAGGGTGGTGGATGATGATTCTCCACATCCAGGATTTGGCAATTGGGTCCCCTAAAAACCCCATTCGCCCTTTAAAAGGGAGATTATGTAAGGTATTTCTTCTGCTTTCTTGGCGTGACTTAGTGGTGTGCTGGTCTGCATGCTGGGCACGTATTCCAGAAGTCCGCTGTTTGATTCCCAGCAAAGGCATTGCTAATTTTTCATCTTGCCTGCGGGTAAAGTAGACTTTAGTACCCCTTGTATTATGGCAAAATTGTTGTTTGATTTATCACCAAGTTGTTGTTTCATTTATGGTAGCCTGAGTAGTTGAATGTTATGGAAACTCTATTGTGACATAATTGGGTGCATGATTCTGGGAAATTTTGAATCATGGGACGTTTTGTAAGCATTTTTGTGGTTTTGGTTTGATTCTTTAGACGGTAGAATGGCCGAATGTAGTAAGATTAATTTGAAGTTTCTGTATCATTTGGAGCGAAAGGGGAAAAGAGCTTTATTTGCCTGGTGTAAAAATGAAGGTTTACTTAGTAGCCATTATAAATGTCCTGTACGTAGGAAGGATATTCGTCTAGTCGAACGTACAAACCGTTTAGATGGATTTGAATGGGTTTGTAGGAAGAAAGGTTCAGATGGTCACTATGCGAAGCGTTCGATCAGAAAGAGTACCTGGTTTGAAAAAAGTCATTTGAGTATGATTGATATTTTGATTTTTACGTGGATCTGGGTGTACGAAGCGAATTCGAAAATCATGGTAAGTCAATATTTGCTTTTGGTAGAGCTTAAAAGTCAATATTTGCTTTTGGTAGAGCTTAACATGTTTTTCCTTTTTTATGTTATTTTATTATTTGGTTTAAAATGTATTTTATTGAGATTATGCATTTTTTGTTTGCCTATATTGTAGAATTTGGTGCTCCTTTGACTTTTTAAGTGAAAATATATCGATGTGTACATGGACAAAGTAAAGGGAGTGCGCAATGCAAGTTTGTGCAATTCTGGGATTTTTTTTTAAGTGAAATAGGTCGACGTGTACATGGATAAAGTCAAAGGAGTGCGCAATGCTATTTATGTGCAATTCAGGGGGTTTTTTTTAAGTGAAAATAAGTCGATGTGTACATGGTTACCGATTTTGTGCAATTCTTTGACTCGTTATTTTGGCTTCGCAAGCAAAAATAACAAGTCAAAGAATTGCACAAAATCAGTAACCATGTACCACCAAAAATCGCCAAGTTTCGCCAAGAGTTACCCTAAACTATACTTTTACCACGCCTGCTTCCAAAAAACACTAATACAATACATAATTTTGGTCAAAATTAAGCAATTATTATAAACAAAATCATAAATGCTGTTACATGTGAATTGAGTTTTTCAAACTATGGTACATGTACCATTAATAGTACACTATTTTATTTTGGGTAGTATAACAGTCACATAGATTTAAATTAATGTTTAAAATGTATATAAAATTTCATCCCTTTTAATATACATACTGCTACACAATGGTACAATTATTTTTTTTCCTTATATTTTTTTCATAAAATTTACAAAGTTCGAGAACCTGTATATTAGATACAAATAAAAAATATATTTAAACATACGCTATGAAATGCAATTAATTACTAACGCAAATAATTTTTTCGTACTTTTTGACTCTTTTTAACTTTTTTTATATATATACACAAAATAAAATGGTATAAAACATATAAACTTGCAATACTTTTTGCACCCACATTCGAAACAAGCAGTACATTAAAATTCACACTTTAAGCTGACGAACGGAAGAGAAAATTCTAGGAATTTAATCGCAATCCAATATGTGAGTTTGAAAAAAAAAAAAAAAAAAAAACTTACATATGAAAACAAAAATTATCGCTGTAAAATATTCATACTTTTACCTAATTGAACGAATTTCAATAAACTGATCCTAAAATCAATATATTCAAAAACGCCTAAAATAATAAACAATAATATATTCTGATCTTTTGTCAAGCAAATGTAAATTTAATTATGTGCACAAGATCCAGAACTTAGTGCTATCTTTTACTTCACCAAAAAATATTCTGCACTTTGCAAATTTCTAATTTCAGAACAGCGAAAAATTAAGCAAACGATTAAAAAAAAATATTCAAATTGATTGCAAATATCATTGCTTACGTTTCCCCCAACGAAAATAAGCATGCTGCCGCTAGCTATTTAGAAACAAATATTAGGTTAGTGAACTAGATTCGAAAACTTACCTCCGTTTTTCTTTGACAATAGGTGGTATGGCCACTTTTCCACCACACATGGTGAAATCTGAATGTTAGTAATCCAAAATTCTTCTAATAATTTTAAATCTGATACCTAAAATACAAGAACATATAGTTCACGTGTCTGGACACTGTTCAAAAGACTATTGACTGCTCAGAAGTATATTAAAGAAACTTGGCTCAGAAGACGAAAATGTGTGTTGTGATGTCAAGTACCAATAATTACTTATAGCGCCATCTGCTGTCAATGTTTAGTACGATATAGCAGACGAATTTTATACCAATTGCAACATTCCTACTGTGTTAAATTTAATTTCGAATTTTATCAATTCATTTATCAAAATTTTTAATTTTAATTTTGATAAATTTTTAAAAATTTTGATTTTCGAAGTTCACTTATGAACATTTTTCATAGAGGTTTACTGAATTCTATAAAAATTCATAAAGAACTTTCTAAGTAACCCTCTATACAAATGCTTCTGTGTAAAATTGTAGAGAAATTGTATAGACAATTTACAGAGAAAGTTGCTTTGCAAAATTGCATATAAATTTTATAGAAGCTAAGCAGAAATAATTATAGAATACGTACACATATATTTATAGAATCTATACACGATTCTATAAGTTCTATATTTAAAGTTTCTTTTTATTATTATTATTATTATTATTATTGTATAGAAGATTTGCGACCTACCTAGTTTAGACAAAACTTCGCTATAATTTCTAAAGAAGTTTAACATAGGATATTTTTATAGAATTCTAGAAATTAGTCCCTTACTAAAATTTTTATAGAGGTTTATAGAACTCTATGAAAATTTTTATACAACTTTCTAGGTAATTCTTTACAGAAATACTTCTGCATAAAATTCTATAGACATTTTATGAAGTTTTTACAGAACACAATTCTTATAGACTTACATAACCAAATATAAATTTTACAAAACCTTTATAGAATCTAAGCAGAAATCTTTACTGAAAACGTACATATATCATTGTAGAGTAGAATCTTTGTACATAATTACATAGGAACTGTATCTAAAATTTTATAAAATTCTACAGATTTTACAGAATTCTACAGAAAGTTTTATAAATCTAGTAGCCATAATTCTAAAGAAGTTTAACATTGGATTTTTCACACGATTCTCTGAGACATTCTCGCAAGGGCTCCCTTACGAAATTTCTTTACAGTGGTTCATAGAATTCTACGAAAATTCCTACAGAATATTCTACGTAATCTACTGTAGAAATGTTTTTGTGTAAAACTCTACAGAAATTTTATAAAGTTTTTACGGAACAGAATTCTGCAGAAATATTGCTTTTCAAAATCGTATAAAAGTTTATAAAGCTTTATGGAATAGTATTTTGCAGAAATCTCCGAAGAAATTAGTCATTTTTGTTTTACTGTATGGTCGATGGCTCTGTGTACCGTTGTTTTATCACAATGCGAGAAATAGACATACATTTATGTAGATTTTTCATTATTAAATTTCTTCAAACATGATGCAAGACTCCAGCAATTGGTGGCAACAGTTTGAAAAGAGAAACGGACATTTATAGTGATTCAACGCAAAATCGCAAAATGAAAACAATAGTCCTTCAGTGACAAAGCTCCTTGGACTAAAAAAAAAAAAAAAAAAAAAAAAAAAAAAAAAAATTGTACAGTGTTTGGTATTGCTCGCTTTGAAATCGTTTAGTTTGTTAATCAAAAATTCGTTAAAGTGTCACAAAATATGAAATCGATTATAAAACAAATTTCAAATGTGGGCTTCCGTTGCACATATTCTGTGGAAGATTACGTTATTCAAAATTTGATGGCTCTAGGTACAGTTGTTTTATCACAATGCGAGAAACATGCATACATTTATGCCGATTCTTCATTATTTAATTTCTTTAAATATAACACAGGACAATAATATTTGGTGGCAACAATTTGAAAAATGAACTGGCATTTGTTTGAATCAACGCAAAATGACAAGCCCTTCTGAGCTAAAAAAAAGAAAAATCTGAAAGCTTTTCATATTTTACATTACGCGCAAAGGGGATCTTTTTTAACGTTTTGTGTGTTACCTTTATTTATTAAATATCACGTTCTTCGCACTTAAACTAAAAAATTCATTGCCAATGAGGAAAAATTTCGGAGTACCTGTGGTTCAAAACCACGCACCTCCACATCAGAATAGTATTAAAAATGTACAGAGTTGGGGAGAATAGAAAATAAAGAAAAAGGGGAATAGGAAAGCCTACATAGCTGAGTGGTAGCAGATAAAGGAGAAATAAATCGGTGAGAAAACAGTAGATGATTCAGGAAAAATCAGAGTTAGTAGAAAAGGCGTAAAGAATCATTGGCATTGACGCATTAAACAATGCTTAGCTGTGAAGAGTGGGCGGAGTCTGGTGTTGAACGGCCAATCCGGAGTTAATCATCAATTTCTGAGAAAGCTAACATAATTTGAAGAGCTTACCTAATATTAATTTATCTACTTGAGATTTAGAATTTCGCATTTTTTGAATAATTTGAAGAATACTTAATACGAAGATGAGATTGCTATACATAGAATTCAGTTCGGAATTACATAGAATTCAGTTCAAAAACAATATCACAAAATAATTTTTAAATGAGCATATCTTCAGAATTTCCGATACACAGTCTCGCGCGCTAGAGATAAATAAGGTTTTTTTTTTTTTTTTTTTTTTTTTTTTTTTTTCCCCTTCCCTTAAATCGTACAGCGTTTCCATAGCTCGCTTTGAAATCATCGAGTTTGTTAATCAAAAGTTCGTTAAAGTTTTACAAAATATGAAATAGATAATAATATAAATTCCAAATTTGGGATTTCAGATGCTAATATTCAATGGAGGATTACGTTATTTAAAATTTGAGAGCTTTAGATACCTTTTTTTTTTTTTTTTTTTTTTTCTTCACAATGCGAGCAACATATATACATTTATGCAGATTCTTCATAAAACAACAAACAACAAAAGAAAAGATTCAACAAAAGAAAATATGTCTTTCTTCCTTTAAATACACCTGCCTTTAAATACATCTGTCTTTAAATACATCTGTCTTTAAATACATCTGTCTTTAAATACATAAGTCTTTGAATATATCTGTAGCAACTATAAATAAAGTAATAAACCAAGATTTACAAAAAAAGCTAAAAAACATAATATTTGTCAGTCTTTGCCAAAGCATGTGGCTCAGTGTAGAAGAATTTGTACACCCTTGTATGAAAACTATTTAGTGGGAGATAAATGGAAATAAATTGTGACCCTCGATGAAGCATAATTATGCCTAAATAATTGCAACAAAAGAAGTTCTATTTATTATCGAAAACGAAGAAAAAAGTGTATAAACCTGGTTTCGTCAATGAAGAGAAAGTTTCAGTGACCGTTTCAGTGATTGTCGCAGGATTTTTCTTATAATGGGAAATTAAAAATAAGACGAGTGAGATACAAATTTTAAAAATAACTCAGTGTATTATCAAGTGCGAGAGTATGTGCCTCGTCTAGGGTGCGAAATATAGTTAGTATCGAGTTGGTGTCTCGTCTAGCGAGTCAATCCCTGCGGAGTCGATCGAGTTGACAGCCCGAACAGCGAGTGCCGAGTGGGTCGTCGAGTGCACCGATGGAGTCTTGTAGTGTATCGCGGTTAGTGCATCGTCGAGAGAGCGTGTTGAGCTCCGGGAACGATGAACCGAAGAGTCGGGAGTTGTGCTCTGTGTGTCGTCAAGTGCATCGCGAGTTGTAGCGTGGAGAGTCTCGAGAGTACGTGGAGTTTCGAGAACGACCGAGCAGAGCCAGTACCTCCTACGTGGAGGTACTGGCAGAGGCGGGAGCTGTACTCCGGTGCTTTGCAGTAAAGCTGTCTCCACCGTTATTGCATGGCAGTGTGAAGGCGTGTTTATAGTAGATCTTAGACGACTGTAAAAGTGCTTTGGAGCTGTCCTGATAAATACTGGATAAATAAAATGTGTTTCGATACTTCATCATCAAATGTCGTCGTTATTTCACTCCAAATCCACACGAACCCCGTACGAACGTGAAAGAAGAAAATAACGTAACAACTGGTGTCAGAAAAAAACGCAACAATACTGATGCAGGTATTGCAAATGTACCTTCTCAACGAATTCCTGCACTAAGTGAAACATCAAGTCACTTAATGTTTCACTTAGTTCATACCTAACTTAGTTCATTTATGGACTATTGTGTCCCTGGTCTCTTTAAAAGAGCCGTTTCTAAGCGCAAATTCACCAGAATGGATGGACTCTGGAAAGTAATGGAAAAGGAATAGAAATCAATGTTCCTGGAAATTTTAGAAAAATCCCTTTTATCATAGAAATCAGGATGCAGACTTATAGTCCAAAAAGAGGGCTATCAGACGGAACATTTAAAAAATATTCTTTACATTTTAAACATTAATTAAGCGACCCCAGGCAATCCAAAGCCGGTCCTGCCTCTCAGTAACATATGCATAATATACTAATTTCGTAATTGTTCCCCCTTAGTAATTATTTTACTCATTATATTATTTATTACTCAATTAATATTAATAATTATTATATACTCAATTATTTATTATTACTTAGTAATTATATCCATAAAAATTTTTCTTAAAGGTGGGTAATTAAAATAAGTGTAATCGTTTCATACAAAGTATTATTCTGCGAGAAATAGTGCTGCCATCTGTTGGGGAAAATACAAATTTCAACGCATATTTCTACTATCTTCATAGATTGTTTTATTTACCGTCATGATAACAGAATTTTTCCTGATAGTAATGAAAAAGGCATTAGTCACAGAAGGAAGGACCTTTGATACCAACATTACGATGCTGAGCAATTTTTTAGTTTCGTCATACTTATTTGTAAGGAATTTAGGCTACGATCTCTACATTAAAAACGATAAATATGGAGATATGTTCTGCTCACGTAATTTATATCACCAATTTTGGAGAAATCGCCTGTAACGTATTCCCTGTTTACAATATTTAAAATTTTTTTATTTACTTTTCTTTGTATTATTGTATTACTGTTTACCTTATTTTTATTTATTTATTTTAAAGGCAGAGAGTTTAGACAACGATTTTTGCATTAAAAATAATAAATAGGCAGAGATCGAGAACATATTTTGCTAACTAAATTTACGTCACCAATTTCTGGAGAA